TCATCATCATCATAATGAGTGTCATCATCATTAGTGTCATCATCATCATCATGAGTGTCATCATCATCATCATGAGTGTCATCATCATCATGAGTGTCATCATCATCATCATGAGTGTCATCATCATCATCATGAGTGTCATCATCATCATCATGAGTGTCATCATCATCATCATGAGTGTCATCATCATCATCATCATGAGTGTCATCATCATCATCATGAGTGTTATCATCACCATCATCATCATGAGTGTCATCATCATCATCACGAGTGTCGTCATCATCATCATGAGTGTCATCATCATCATCATGAGTGTTCATCATCATCATCATGAGTGTCATCATGAGTGTCATCATCATCATCGTCGTCGTGAGTGTCATCATCATCATCATCATGAGTGTCATCATCATCATGAGTGTCATCACATCATCATCATGAGTGTCATCATCATCATCATGAGTGTCATCATCATCCATCATCATGAGTGTCATCATCATCATGAGTGTCATCATCATCATCATGGGTGTCATCATCATCATCATGATGTCATCATCATCATCATCATGAGTGTCATCATCATCATGAGTGTCATCTTTATCATGAGTGTCATCATTCATCATCATGAGGTCATCATCCTATCATCGTCATGAGTGTCATCATCATCATCATGAGCGTCATCATCATCATCATGAGTGTCATCATCATCATCATCATGAGTGTCATCATCATCATCATCATGAGTGTCATCATCATCAATCGTCATGAGTGTCATCATCATCATAATGAGTGTCATCATCATTAGTGCCATCATCATCATCAGAGTGTCATCATCATCATCATCATGAGTGTCATCATTCATCATGAGTGTCATCATCATCATGGTGTCATCATCATCATAAGTGTCATCATCATCATCTTCGTCATGAGTGTCATCGTCATCATCATCATGAGTGTCATCATCATCATGAGTGTCATCATCATCATCATGAGTGTCATCATCATCATGAGTGTCATCATCATCGTCATGAGTGTCATCATCATCATCATCATGAGTGTCATCATCATCATCATCATGAGTGTCATCATCATCATCATGAGTGTCATCATCATCATCATGAGTTTCATCATCATCATCGTCATGAGTGTCATCATCATCATGAGTGTCATCATCATCATCATGAGTGTCATCATCATCATGAGTGTCATCGTCATCATCATCATCATCATGAGTGTCATCATCATCATGAGTGTCATCATCATCATGAGTGTCATCATCATCATCATCATGAGTGTCATCATCATCGTCGTCATGAGTGTCATCATCATCATCGTCATGAGTGTCATCATCATCATGAGTGTCATTATCATCATCATGAGTGTCATTATCATCATCATGAGTGTCATCATCATCATGAGTGTCATCATCATCATCATGAGTGTTATCATCACCATCATCATCATGAGTGTCATCATCATCATCACGAGTGTCGTCATCATCATCATGAGTGTCATCATCATCATCATGAGTGTCATCATCATCATCATGAGTGTCATCATGAGTGTCATCATCATCATCGTCGTCGTGAGTGTCATCATCATCATCATCATGAGTGTCATCATCATCATGAGTGTCATCATCATCATCGTCATGAGTGTCATCATCATCATCATGAGTGTCATCATCATCATCATCATGAGTGTCATCATCATCATGAGTGTCATCATCATCATCATGGGTGTCATCATCATCATCATGATTGTCATCATCATCATCATCATGAGTGTCATCATCATCATGAGTGTCATCTTTATCATGAGTGTCATCATCATCATCATGAGTGTCATCATCATCATCGTCATGAGTGTCATCATCATCATCATGAGTGTCATCATCATCATCATGAGTGTCATCATCATCATCATCATGAGTGTCATCATCATCATCGTCATGAGTGTCATCATCATCATAATGAGTGTCATCATCATTAGTGTCATCATCATCATCATGAGTGTCATCATCATCATCATCATCATGAGTGTCATCATCATCATGAGTGTCATCATCATCATCATGAGTGTCATCATCATCATCATGAGTGTCATCATCATCATCATGAGTGTCATCATCATCATCATGAGTGTCATCATCATCATCATCATGAGTGTCATCATCATCATCATGAGTGTTATCATCACCATCATCATCATGAGTGTCATCATCATCATCACGAGTGTCGTCATCATCATCATGAGTGTCATCATCATCATCATGAGTGTCATCATCATCATCATGAGTGTCATCATGAGTGTCATCATCATCATCGTCGTCGTGAGTGTCATCATCATCATCATCATGAGTGTCATCATCATCATGAGTGTCATCATCATCATCGTCATGAGTGTCATCATCATCATCATGAGTGTCATCATCATCATCATCATGAGTGTCATCATCATCATGAGTGTCATCATCATCATCATGGGTGTCATCATCATCATCATGATTGTCATCATCATCATCATCATGAGTGTCATCATCATCATGAGTGTCATCTTTATCATGAGTGTCATCATCATCATCATGAGTGTCATCATCATCATCGTCATGAGTGTCATCATCATCATCATGAGTGTCATCATCATCATCATGAGTGTCATCATCATCATCATCATGAGTGTCATCATCATCATCATCATGAGTGTCATCATCATCATCATCGTCATGAGTGTCATCATCATCATAATGAGTGTCATCATCATTAGTGTCATCATCATCATCATGAGTGTCATCATCATCATCATCATGAGTGTCATCATCATCATGAGTGTCATCATCATCATGAGTGTCATCATCATCATAAGTGTCATCATCATCATCTTCGTCATGAGTGTCATCGTCATCATCATCATGAGTGTCATCATCATCATGAGTGTCATCATCATCATCATGAGTGTCATCATCATCATGAGTGTCATCATCATCGTCATGAGTGTCATCATCATCATCATCATGAGTGTCATCATCATCATCATCATGAGTGTCATCATCATCATCATGAGTGTCATCATCATCATCATGAGTTTCATCATCATCATCGTCATGAGTGTCATCATCATCATGAGTGTCATCATCATCATCATGAGTGTCATCATCATCATGAGTGTCATCGTCATCATCATCATCATCATGAGTGTCATCATCATCATGAGTGTCATCATCATCATGAGTGTCATCATCATCATCATGAGTGTCATCATCATCGTCGTCATGAGTGTCATCATCATCATCGTCATGAGTGTCATCATCATCATGAGTGTCATTGTCATCATCATGAGTGTCATTATCATCATCATGAGTGTCATCATCATCATGAGTGTCATCATCATCATCATGAGTGTCATCGTCATCAGTGTCGTCATCATCATCAGTGTCATCGTCGTCAGCTGCGTCAACGTCCTCGTCATCAGTGTCATCATCATCATCATCAGTGTCATCATCATCATCAGTGTCATTATAACCCACCCACTCACAAAGCCACCGATTCACCCACCAACTCACCCACCCACTCATCCACTCATACACCCACTCACTCACTCACCCACTCACTCACTCAACCACCCACTCACCCACCTACCCACTCACCCACTCATTCAATCACCCACTCACTCACTCACCCACTCACTCACCCACTCACCCACCCACTCACCTACTCACTCACTCACTCACCCACTCACCCATTCACCCACTCACTCACCCACTCACTAACTCACTCACCCACTCACTCACCCACTCACTCACCCACTCACTCACCCAGAAAATCACTCACCCACTCACTCACCGACTCAATCACCCAGAAAATCACTCACTCACTCACCCACTCACTCACCCACTCACTCACTCAATCACCCACTTACCCACTCACCCACTCACTCACCCACCCACTCACCCACTCACTCACTCAACCACCCACTCACCCACCTATCCACTCACCCACTCACTCAATCACCCACTCACTCACCCCCTCACCCACTCACACACTCACTCACCCAGCCACTCACTCACTCACCTACTCACCCACTCACTCACCCACTCACTCACCCAATCAATCACCCACTCACTCACCGACTCACTCACTCACCCACTCACCCACTCACTCACTCACCCACCCACTCACTCACTCACTCACCCACCCACTCACCCACTCACTCACTCACTTACCCACTCACTCACTCACCCACCGACTCACTCACTCACCCACTCACCCACCCACCCACTCACTCACCCACCCACTCACTTACTCACCCACCTACCCACTCAGTCACCCACTCACTCACTCACCCACCCACTCACTCACCCACCCACCCACTCACTCACCCACTCACTAACCCACTCACTCACCCACTCACCCACTCACCCACTCACTCACCCACTCACCCACCCACTCACTCACCCACCCACCCACTCACTCACTCCCTCACCCACTCACTCATCCACTCACTCACCCACTCACCCACCCACTCACCCACTCACCCACTCACTCACTCACCCACTCACTCACTCACCCACTCACCCACTCACTCACTCAACCACCCACTCACCCACCTATCCACTCACCCACTCACTCAATCACCCACTCACTCACCCACTCACCCACTCACCCACTCACTCACCCAGCCACTCACTCACTCACCTACTCACCCACTCACTCACCCACTCACTCACCCACTCAATCACCCACTCACTCACTCACCGACTCACTCACTCACCCACTCACCCACTCACTCACTCACCCACTCACTCCCTCACCCACTCACCCACCCACTCACTCACCCACTCACTCACTCACCCACCCACTCACCCACTCACTCACTCACCCACTCACTCACTCAGAAGAAATGTGGATGAGTGAGCAGTGGGTGAGGGGGTTAATAGCTGTGAATTCAGCCAAACTTCACCGTCCCCTAATTCTCACGTCTCTGTCTCCCCCACACACACACAGGCACCTACAACTATGACTACGGCGGTAAGTGTGGTGACTACCACTACAGATGTAGTGTGTGGTGACTACCACCACCACTACAGCTGTAGTGTGTGGTGACTACCACCACTACAGCTGTAGTGTCTGGTGACTACCACTACCACTACAGCTGTAGTGTGTGGTGACTACCACTACAGATGTAGTGTGTGGTGACTACCACCACCACTACCACTACAGCTGTAGTGGTGGTGGTGACTACCACCATCACTACAGCTGTAGTGTCTGGTGACTACCACTACCACAGCTGGAGTGTGTGGTGACTACCACCACCACTACCACTACAGCTGTAGTGTGTGGTGACTACCACCACCACTACAGCTGTAGTGTGTGGTGACTACCACCATCACTACCACTACAGCTGTAGTGTGTGGTGACTACCACCACCACTACAGCTGTAGTGTGTGGTGACTACCACCACCACTACAGCTGTAGTGTGTGGTGACTACCAACACCACTACAGCTGTAGTGTGTGGTGACTACCACCATCACCACCACTACAGCTGTAGTGTGTGGTGACTACCAACACCACTACAGCTGTAGTGTGTGGTGACTACCACCACCACTACAGCTGTAGTGTGTGGTGACTACCACTACACACTACAGCTGTAGTGTGTGGTGACTACCACCATCACAGATGTAGTGTGTGGTGACTACCAACACCACTACCACTACAGCTGTAGTGTGTGGTGACTACCACCACCACTACAGCTGTAGTGTGTGGTGACTACCACCACCACTACAGCTGTAGTGTGTGGTAATTACCACCACCACTACAGCTGTAGTGTGTGGTGACTACCACCATCACCACCACTACAGCTGTAGTGTGTGGTGACTACCACCACCACTACAGCTGTAGTGTGGGGTGACTACCATCGTCACTACCACTACAGATGTAGTGTGTGGTGACTACCACCACCACAGCTGTAGTGTGTGGTGACTACCACCACCACTACCACTACAGCTGTAGTGTGTTGTGACTACCACTACCACTACAGCTGTAGTGTGTGGTGACTACCACCACACACTACAACTGTAGTGTGTGGTGACTACCAACACCACTACCACTACAGCTGTAGTGTGTGGTGACTACCACCACCACTACAGCTGTAGTGTGTGGTGACTACCACCACCACTACAGCTGTAGTGTGTGGTGACTACCACCACCACTACAGCTGTAGTGTGTGGTGACTACCACCACCACAACAGCTGTGGTGTGTGGTGACTATCACCACCACTACAGCTGTAGTGTGTGGTGACTACCACCATCACTACAGCTGTAGTGTGTGGTGACTACCACCACTATCACTACAGCTGTAGTGTGTGGTGACTACCACCACCACTACCACTACAGCTGTAGTGTGTGGTGACTACCACCACCACTACCACTACAGCTGTAGTGTGTGGTGACTACCACCACCACTACAGCTGTAGTGTGTGGTGACTACCACCACCACTACCACTACAGCTGTAGTGTGTGGTGACTACCACCATCACTACAGCTGTAGTGTGTGGTGACTACCACCACCACTACAGCTGTAGTGTGTGGTGACTACCACCACCACTACAGCTGTAGTGTGTGGTGACTACCACCACCACTACAGCTGTAGTGTGTGGTGACTACCACCACCACTACAGCTGTAGTGTGTGGTGACTACCACCACCACAACAGCTGTGGTGTGTGGTGACTATCACCACCACTACAGCTGTAGTGTGTGGTGACTACCACCATCACTACAGCTGTAGTGTGTGGTGACTACCACCACTATCACTACAGCTGTAGTGTGTGGTGACTACCACCACCACTACAGCTGTAGTGTGTGGTGACTACCACCACCACTACCACTACAGCTGTAGTGTGTGGTGACTACCACCACCACTACAGATGTAGTGTATGGTGACTACTACTACCACTACAGCTGTAGTGTGTGGTGACTACCACCACTACCACTACAGCTGTAGTGTGTGGTGACTACCACCATCACTACAGCTGTAGTGTGTGGTGACTACCACCACCACTACAGCTGTAGTGTGTGGTGACTACCACCACCACTACAGCTGTAGTGTGTGGTGACTACCACCACCATTACAGCTGTAGTGTGTGGTGACTACCACCATCACTACAGCTGTAGTGTGTGGTGACTACCACCACCACTACAGCTGTAGTGTGTGGTGACTACCACCATCACCATCACTACAGCTGTAGTGTGTGGTGACTACCACCACCACTACAGCTGTAGTGTCTGGTGACTACCACCACCACTATGATGTTGCTGATGATGCAGTGGTTGATGATAGTTGATGATGGTGCTGATGATGGTGCTGATGATGGTGGTGATGGTACTGATGATGATGGTGATGAAGATGGTGATGATGATGATGGTGCTGATGGTGATGATGATGATGATAGTGATGATGATGGTGATGATGGTGATGATGGTGATGATGCTGCTGGTGGTGATGATGGTGATGAAGATGGTGATGATGATGATAATGGTGCTGATGGTGATGATGATGATAGTGATGATGATGGTGATGATGGTGATGATGCTGATGGTGGTGATGATGGTGATGATGATGATGGTGATGATGATGGTGATGATGGTGATGATAATGTTTGTGGTTTCAGACATCACTCCTTCAACCCTTGTCGACAATGACTTAGCAGGACATCGTGAGTCACTCACTCACAACTCACTCACCCACTCACTCACTCACCCACCCACTCACCCACTCACTCACCCACCCACCCACTCACCCACTTACTCACTCACTCACCCACTCACTCACTCACCCACCCACTCACTCAGTCACTCACCCACTCACTCGCTCACCAACTCACCCACCCACTCACTCATGCACTCACTCACCCACTCACTCACTCACCCACCCACTCACTCACTCACCCACCCACTCACTCACCCACCCACTCACTCACCCACTCACTCACTCACCCACTCACCCACAAACTCGCACTGTGTGTGTGTGTGGGGAGTGGTGGTGCAGTGGTTAGCGCACTGTGTGTGTGTGTAAGGGGAGTAGTGGTGCAGTAGTTAGCGCACTGTGTGTGTGTGTGGGGAGCGGTGGTGCAGTGGTTAGCGCACTTTGTGTGTGTGTGGGGAGCGGTGGTGCAGTGGTTAGCGCACTGTGTGTGTGGGGAGCGGTGGTGCAGTGGTTAGCGTACTGTGTGTGGGGAGCGGTGGTGCAGTGGTTAGCGCACCGTGTGTGTGTGTGGGGAGCGGTGGTGCAGTGGTTAGCGCACTCACCTTGCCCCCGTGGGGCATCTTTGTCTTTGCCTTGCAGCTCTCCCTCCCACTGTCATCAAGGAGCCGGAAACGACTGAAAACGGTGACATCATCATCAGTGACATCATCATCAGTGTCATCATCATCATCAATGTCATCAGCATCATCAGTGTCATCATCATCAGTGTCATCAGCATCATCAGTGACATCTTCGTCATCAGTGACATCATCATCATCAGTGGCATCAGCATCATCAGTGACATCATCATCAGTGACATCATCATCAGTGACATCATCATCAGTGACATCATCATCATCATCATCAGTGACATCATCATCAGTGTCATCATTATCAGTGTCATCATCAGTGTCGTCATCATTAGTGTCATCATCATCAATTTCGTCATCATCATCAGTGTAATCATCATCAATGTCGTCATCATCATCAGTGTCATCAGCATCGTCGTCATCATCATCAGCAATAGTATCAGCATCACTGTGTTTACGTGTGTGTGTGTCTGTGTGTGTGTGTCTGTATGTGTGTCTGTGTGTGTGTCTGTATGTGTGTCTGTGTGTGTGTCTGTGTGTGTGTCTGTGTTTGTGTCTGTGTGTGTGTCTGTGTTTGTGTCTGTGTGTGTGTCTGTGTGTTTGTGTCTGTGTGTGTGTCTGTGTTTGTGTGTGTTTGTGTCTGTGTGTGTGTCTGTGTGTGTGTCTGTGTGTGTGTCTGTATGTGAGTCTGTGTGTGTGTCTGTGTGTGTGTCTGTGTGTGTGTCTGTGTGTGTGTCTGTGTGTCTGTGTGTGTGTCTCTGTGTGTGTGTCTGTGTGTGTGTATGTGTGTGTGTCTGTGTTTGTGTCTGTGTTTGTGTCTGTGTGTGTGTCTGTGTGTGTCTGTGTTTGTGTCTGTGTGTGTGTGTCTGTGTGTGTGTCTGTGTTTGTATCTGTGTGTGTGTCTGTGTGTGTCTGTGTGTGTGTCTGTGTCTGTGTGCGTCTGTGTGTGTGTCTGTGTGTGTGTCTGTGTCTGTGCGTGTCTGTGTGTCTGTGTGTGTGTCTGTGTGTGTGTCTGTGTGTGTGTGGGGAGCGGTGGTGTAGCGTTTAGCGCTACGCTGCGCTATGAACCTGGCAACCCGAGTTCGATTCCCGCTCACGGCCAACACCACCACGTGACGATTATCTGAACCTGTTCCGGGCTTCCCCTAGGTCGACTCAGCCTCAAATGAGTACCTGGTGCGGTGTGTAAACATCGCCACCGGGGAGACAAAGGCGGTCGGGCGTGGTGCTGGCCACCCACCCCCTCGTGTCTCTTCATAGTTGCTCGCTAACAGCACTTGCCCCTACAGTCTGTTACAGGCTACACGGGGGAGGGGTGGAATCTCTGTCTTTGTGTGTTTATAATGAGATCTTTTCCACGTGGTTTAGTGCCCGTCCAGAGCCCCCGTTTAGCCGCTGTGGTGGTGGTCACAGACGCCATGACGGGAAAGGCCAATCGGAATTGGCCCTCACCCCACGGCATTGCCCACGATAGCATTGCCCATTAGGCACCGCGAGGAGGTAGGGGGTCGCCTCGCCAGGCACGCTGAGGAGAGGCTTGCGGAGCCCCAATGCGGTTTCAGGAAAGGGCGGTCCTGCACAGATGCCATATTTTCCGTCCGTCCGCTACAGCAGAGGTATAGGGAATTCCAACAAGACCTACATCTCTGCTTTATTGACCTGGTCAAGGCCTACGATACCATCAGTAGGCATGGGTTCTGGGTCGTTCTTCGTGCTTTTGGAGTCCCTGACCCCCTGCTCACGATCATTAAGAAGGGGGACCGCACAGACTGTAACAACTACAGGGGCATCTCACTCCTCAGTGTGCCGGGAAAGTTCCTGGCAAGGATTATTCAACATCGCCTCGCCAGGCACGCTGAGGAGAGGCTTGCGGAGCCCCAATGCGGTTTCAGGAAAGGGCGGTCCTGCACGGATGCCATATTTTCCATCCGTCTGCTACAGCAGAGGTGTAGGGAATTCCAACAAGACCTACATCTCTGCTTCATTGACCTGGTCAAGGCCTACGATACCATCAGTAGGCCTGGGCTCTGGGATGTTCTTCGTTTTGCAGATTTGCTGAGCATTTCTGTGAAGTCCTGGGGGAGGGAAAATCCCTCAGCCAGGAAAACATTGTGGCACAAAGTGGGGATGACCCTGCTGAGGCTGTGGTGCCTCAAATATTGGAAGAAGTCACCCCCTGCGAGTGGCTGGCTGAGGTGCCATCTGTTGAGGAAGTACTGAAGGCGATCCGGAGTCTGAGACCAGGAAAGGCAGCGGGCAGAGATGATCTCCCAAGCGAAATGCTGAGGGAGGGTGGCGTTTGTGCACAGACTGCCCTATATGACATCATAACAACAGTCTGGACCACTGGACGGGTTCCGCAGGATTGGAAGGATGCCCTGGTGGTCCCCCTCTTTAAGAAGGGGGACCGCACAGACTGTAACAACTACAGTGGCATCTCACTCCACAGTGTGCCGGGAAAGGTCCTGGCAAGGATTATTCAACATCGCCTCGCCAGGCACGCTGAGGAGAGGCTTGCGGAGCCCCAATGCGGTTTCAGGAAAGGGCGGTCCTGCACAGATGCCATATTTACTGTCCATCTGCTACAGCAGAGGTGTAGGGAATTCCAACAAGACCTACATCTCTGCCTTATTGACCTGGTCAAGGCCTATGATACCATCAGTAGGCCTGGGCTCTGGGTTGTTCTTCGTGCTTTTGGAGTCCCTGACCCTCTGCTCACGATCATTAAGGACCTTCATGATGGTGAGCGAGCCCGGGTAAAACTACGTGGCCGGGAGTCAGAGCCATTCCCTGTACACCTTGGCGTGCGACAGGGATGTCCTCTGGCTCCCACCTTATTTAACATCTATTTTGACCACGTAGTTCGTGAATCCTTCAGTAGCTGTACCGGAGGAATTTACATCTGGTAAAGATACAATGGGAGGCTGATCGATGCCCAGGTGCGGTCAAGGGATGGCTCCCTATTGCTCAACCACGTTATGTATGCCGATGATTTGGTAATAGCTGCCCATTCAGAGGAGGAGTTGGAGACGCTGCTGCTGTGACTGGAGCGTGCTACTAAGAGATGGGCCCTTACCATCAGCCCCACCAAAACTAAGCACCTGCCTGGGTATTTAGTACCATCGGATACTCCACCCCCACAACTCCCAATCGGTGATGGGGCAGTTGTGGAGAGAGTGGAGAGTTTCCCATACCTGGGCAGTGTGCTTATGACCGGCTCCAGTTTAACAGCAGAGGTCTCACTCCGAATCAGTCGAGCGGCAATATCTTTTCATCGGTTGTGTAACGCTGTGTGGAAGCTACCTGGTCTGTCGCTCCGCACTAAGCTTCAGGTCTTCTCGGCCACGGTCATTCCCTCCCTTCTCTACGCTTGCAAAACGTGGACCCCCTTAATGGAGCATCTTCGCCGGTTGGAAACATTTAGGCTAGCCTGCCTAAGATCCATCCTGGGTTTAACCAGACTGGATTGTGTGAGGAGCTCACAAATCCTTGAAAGATCTGGGCAAGGTCCCATCGATGAGCTCCTCCGGCGGGCAAGGCTGCGATGGCTGGGTCATGTAGCCCGCATGCCCAGCCACCGCATGCCGAAACAGCTTTTGTTCGGCGGATTGAGGGGGCTAAACGGGCGCGGCACGGGCTAGAGAAGAGATGGAGTGATGTGGTACAGGAGGACGTGGAGCTGAGTGGACTTGCCGATGACTGGTACCAGCGCTGTCAAGATCGGCCTCTGTGGAGGAGGCTCGTGAAGGACGCTACTGGGCAGTTGGAGGCAGTCGCCCTCCAACAACAACGGAGGGCGGAGGAGCGACGCTCACAACAACGAGCGGAGCGCCGGGTGGCTATAGCACAGCGGGTTGGCACAGTAGGGGGCACAGGTGGTGCATCAGTTAGTCATCTCAGTGATCTCAGTCAGTCGACCCGTGGCACCTGGGTCTGCCCCGTGACCTCCTGCCAGCGGGCGTTCGACACTTCACGTGGCCTCAAGGTGCACATGGCCTGGCACAAGCGTCGTGGTGACGTCACCGCAACTTAGTAGCGAATGGCGGTTGTTGTTGTTGTAACATGTATGTGTGTGTATGTATATTACGTGTGTAACATGTGTGTAACATGTGTGTATGTGTTTTTGCGTGTGTGTATATATGTGCGGAGCCAGGAGATTGAATACCTACCCTCGGGGCTACTCCAGAAACAACGAAAAGCCACTACGGTTGGCCACGTGGAATGTTCGAACGCTCACTGCAGAGGAGAGGCTGCCACTCCTCTGTCGGGAGCTGGACCGGTACCGCCTGGATCTATGCGGCATTCAGGAGGTCCGGTGGACCGGCTCTGGCTCCTGCCACCATGAGGGGTGGACAGTCCTCTACTCGGGGCAGCAGACTGCCAAACAACAGGGTGTGGGTCTTCTTTTGAACAAAAGAATGAAGGGGGCGTGGGAGCGTGGCGGTGAGGTGTGGGAAGCTGTAAGCCCCAGGCTACTTTGGGCTCGCCTTCCCATCAACCGGAGGCGAGGAATGGTGGTCGTGGTTACTTATGCCCCCACCGAAGATGAACATCCGTGGAGGGATGCAGGCAAAGCCGATGAGTCAGATGCCTTCTATGACCTCCTGTCACAGGTGCTGGCTAAAGTGGCCCCTCGGGATAGAGTCATCATGTTGGGTGACTTCAATGCCCGAGTTGGTCATGATACTGGCACCTGGTCTGGAGTGATTGGAGGGCATGGGCCAGATCAGCTCAATAACAACGGTAGGAGGCTGCTAGATTTTTGTGCAGCCCATGGGCTTGTAATTACCAACACGCTGTTCCGGCATCGGCGCATCCACACAACATCATGGATGCATGCCGGGTCCAAGCAAGAACATCTGCTGGACTACATAGTGACGGACCAGCGAATGCGAGCCCATGTCCTTGACACCAGGACCTACCGTGGAGCTGATCTGCCCTCTGACCATCGACTAGTCATCTGTAAGATGCGCCTGCCATTCTTCCACTCCGGTGGTGGGTGTACACCCAGGACCCCATTCCAACCTAAAGTGGCCTCGTCTCAGTTATCTGATGAAAGTTGCAAGCGAGAATTTCATCATCGCTTGCGGCTGGGATTGGCATCGTCCCCGACTCCTCCTGATGTCGAGGGTAAATGGGCGAGGTTTAGGACTGTGACTCATGCAGCTGCAATGGCTGCTTTGGGTACGCGGTCCAGACCTCCCCAGACACCCTGGATGACAGAGGAGTTGTTCACGATGGTTGAGAAAAAGCGACAGGCCGACTGTCATCGGCTACAGAATCCCACGTCAGAGAATGAGGAGGCTTACCGCAGCCTTCGCTCGGAGGTTCGGAGAGCCGTGAGGCGCTGCAAGGATGGGTGGTGGTCGCGGGTTGCTGAGGAGATGGAGTCTGCCTCAGTGGCCCGTGATCACAAATCTCTATTAAACTCCATCAAAAAAGTAACCTGCAGCACCACACCTATTACCATCATTAGGGGAAAAAACGGTGATCCAATTTCCGACCCCCAGGAACAGGTTCGCAGATTTGCTGAGCATTTCTGTGAGGTCCTGGGGGAGGGAAAATCCCTCAGCCAGGAAAACATCGTGGCACAAAGTGAGGATGACCCTGCTGAGGCTGCGGTGACTCAAATATTGGATGAATTCACCCCCTGTGAGTGGCTGGCTGAGGTGCCATCTGCTGAGGAAGTATTGAAGGCGATCCGGAGTCTGAGACCAGGAAAGGCAGCGGGCAGAGATGATCTCCCAAGCGAAATGCTGAGGGAGGGTGGCGTTTGTGCACAGACTGCCCTATATGACATCATAACAACAGTCTGGACCACTGGACGGGTTCCGCAGGATTGGAAGGATGCCCTGGTGGTCCCCCTTTTTAAGAAGGGGGACCGCACAGACTGTAACAACTACAGGGGCATCTCACTCCTCAGTGTGCCGGGAAAGGTCCTGGCAAGGATTATTCAGCATCGCCTTGCCAGGCACGCTGAGGAGAGGCTTGCGGAGCCCCAATGCGGTTTCAGGAAAGGGCGGTCCTGCACAGATGCCATATTTTCTGTCCGTCTGCAACAGCAGAGGTGTAGGGAATTCCAACAAGACCTCCATCTCTGCTTTATTGACCTGGTCAAGGCCTATGATACCATCAGTAGGCCTGGGCTCTGGGTCGTTCTTCGTGCTTTTGGAGTACCTGACCCTCTGCTCACGATCATTAAGGACCTTCATGATGGTGAGCGGGCCCGGGTAAAACTACGTGGCCGGGAGTCAGAGCCATTCCCTGTACACCTTGGGGTGCGACAGGGATGTCCTCTGGCTGCCACATTATTTAACATCTATTTTGACCACGTAGTTCGTGAAGCCTTCAATAGCTGTACCGGGGGAATCTCCATATGGTACAGATATAATGGGAGGCTAATCGATGCCCGGGTGCGGTCAAGGGATGGCTCCCTATTGCTCAACCACGTTATGTATGCTGATGACTTGGTAATAGCTGCTCAGTCAGAGGAGGAGTTGGAGACGCTGCTGCTGAGACTGGAGCGTGCCACTAAGAGGTGGGGCCTTACCATCAGCCCCACCAAAACTAAGCACCTGCCTGGGTATTTTGTACCATCGGACACTCCACCCCCACAACTCCCAATCGGTGATGGGGCAGTTGTGGAGAGAGTGGAGAGTTTCCCATACCTGGGCAGTGTGCTTATGACTGGCTCCAGTTTAACAGCAGAGGTCTCACTCCGAATCAGTCGAGCGGCAATATCTTTTCATCGGTTGCGTAACGCTGTGTGGAAGCTACCTGGTCTGTCGCTCCGCACTAAGCTTCAGGTCTTCTCGGCCACGGTCATTCCCTCCCTTCTCTACGCTTGCGAAACGTGGACCCCCCTAATGGAACATCTTCGCCGGTTAGAAACATTTAGGCTGGCCTGCCTACGATCCATCCTGGGTTTAACCAGACTGGATTGTGTGAGGAGCTCACAAATCCTTGAAAGATCTGGGCAGGGTCCCATCGGTGAGCTCCTCCGGCAGGCAAGGCTGCGATGGCTGGGTCATGTAGCCCGCATGCCCAGCCACCGCATGCCGAAACAGCTTTTGTTTGGCCGGATTGAGGGGGCTAAGCGGGCGCGGCACGGGCTAGAGAAGAGATGGAGTGATGTGGTACAGGAGGACGTGGAGCTGAGTGGACTTGCCGATAACTGGTACCAGCGCTGTCAAGATCGGCCTCTGTGGAGGAGGCTCGTTAAGGACGCTACTGGGCAGTTGGAGGCAAACGCCCTCCAACAACAACGGAGGGCGGAGGAACGACGCTCACAACAACGAGCAGAGCGCCGGGTGGCTAAAGCACAGCGGGTTGGCACAGTAGGGGGCACAGGTGGTGCATCAGTTAGTCATCTCAGTCAGTCGACCCGTGGCACCTGGGTCTGCCCCGTGACCTCCTGCCAGCGGGCGTTCGACACTTCACGTGGCCTCAAGGTGCACATGGCCTGGCACAAGCGTCGTGGTGACGTCACCTCAACTTAGTAGCGAATGGCGGTTGTTGTTGTTGTAACATGTATGTGTGTGTATGTATATGCATGTGTGTAACATGTGTGTAACATGTGTGTATGTGTTTTTGCGTGTGTGTATATGTGTGTGTGTATGTGTGTGTATGTGTGTATGTATGTAACATGTGTGTGTAACATGTGTGTAACATGTGTGTGTAACATGTGTGTAACATGTGTGTAACATGTGTGTGTAACATGTGTGTGTAACATGTGTGTAACATGTGTGTAACATGTGTGTGTAACATGTGTGTGTAACATGTGTGTAACATGTGTGTAACATGTGTGTAACATGTGTGTGTAGGCTGTAGGGAGGAGCAGTACGTGTGCACACGGCTCTACTCTATCAACAAACCGTGCAAGGAGTGCATCAAGAGCCTCTGCTTCTACCGGTGAGAACCAGCAGCAGTAGCTGCATCAGTAGTAGTAGCAGCAGTAGTAGTAGCAGCAGTAGTAGTAGTGTAGCAGCAGTAGTAGTAGTGTAGTAGTAGTAGCAGCAGTAGTAGTAGTGTAGCAGCAGTAGTAGTAATGTAGTAGTAGTAGTGTAGTAGTAGTAATGTAGTAGTAGTAGTAGTAATGTAGTAGTAGTAGTAGTGTAGTAGCAGTAGTAGTGTAGTAGTAGTGTAGTAGTAGTAGTCTAGCAGCAGTAGTAGTAGTAGTGTAGTAGCAGTAGCAGCAGTAGTAGCAGCAGCAGCAGTATTAGTAGTAGCAGCAGCAGCAGTAGTAATAGTAGTAGCAGCAGTAGTAGTAGCAGTAGTAGCAGTAGTAGTAGCAGTAGTAGCAGTAGTAGTAGCAGTAGTAGCAGTAATAGTAGCAGTAGTAGTAGTAGCAGTAGTAGTAGTGTAGTAGCAGTAGTAGTAATAGTAGTAGTAGCAGTAGTAGTAATAGTAGTAGTAGCAGTAGTAGTAATAGTAGTAGCAGTAGTAGTAATAGTAGTAGCAGCAGTAGTAGTAGCAGTAGTAGCAGTAGTAGGAGCAGTAGTAGTAGTTGCAGTAGTAGTAGTGTAGTAGCAGTAGTAGCAGCAGCAGTAGTAGCAGTAGTAGTAGCAGTAGTAGTAGCAGTAGTAGCAGTAGTAGTAGCAGTAGTAGCAGCAGCAGTAGTAGCAGCAGTAGTAATAGTAGTAGCAGCAGTAGCAGTAGTAGCAGTAGTAGGAGCAGCAATAGTAGCAGTAGTAGTAGTGTAGTAGCAGTAGTAGCAGTTGCAGTAGTAGCAGTAGTAGTAGCAGTAATAGATAGCAGCAGTAGTAGTAGTGTAGCAGTAGTAGTGTAGTAGTAGTAGTAATGTAGTAGTAGTAATGTAGTAGTAGTGTAGTAGTAGTGTAGTAGTAGTAGCAGTAGTAGTAGTAGCAGTAGTAGTGTAGTAGTAGCAGTAGTAGTAGCAGTAGTGTAGTAGTAGTGTAGTAGTAATGTAGTAGTAGTAGCAGTAGTAGTAGTAACAGAAGTAGTAGTGTAGTAGCAGTAGTAGTAGTAGTGTAGTAGTAGCAGTAGTAGTAGTGTAGTAGTAGTAGTAGCAGCAGTAGTAGCAGCAGTAGTACTAGTGTAGTAGTAGTAGTCTAGCAGCAGTAGTAGTAGTGTAGTAGTAGCAGTAGTAGTAGTAGCAGCAGTAGTAGCAGTAGTAGCAGTAGTAGTAGCAGCAGTAGTAGTAGCAGCAGTAGTAGTGTAGTAGCAGTAGTAGTAGTAGCAGCAGCAGTAGTAGTAGTAGTGTAGTAGCAGTAGTAGTAGTAGCAGCAGTAGCAGTAGTAGCAGCAGTAGTAGTAGTAGCAGCAGTAGTAGCAGCAATAGTAGTAGTAGTGTAGTAGCAGTAGTAGTAGTGTAGTAGTAGCAGCAGTAGTAGCAGCAGTAGCACTAGTGTAGTAGTAGTAGTCTAGCAGCAGTAGTAGTAGTGTAGTAGTAGTAGCAGCAGTAGTAGCAGTAGTAGCAGTAGTAGTAGCAGCAGTAGTAGTAGCAGCAGTAGTAGTGTAGTAGCAGTAGTAGTAGTAGCAGCAGCAGTAGCAGTAGTAGCAGTAGTAGTGTAGTAGCAGTAGTAGTAGTAGCAGCAGTAGCAGTAGTAGCAGCAGTAGTAGTAGCAGTAGTAGCAGCAGTAGCAGTAGTAGCAGCAGTAGTAGTAGTAGCAGCAGTAGTAGCACCTACACACAGACAAAGGTCCCCCGTGTAGCCTCTAGCAGGCTGTAGGGGCAAGCGCTGTTAGCGAGTAGCAGTGCCTATGAAGGCTGACGGCACTGCGGGTTGCTGTGACCAGCGGCAGCACCACGCCCGGCCGCCTTTGTCTCTCCCGCCCACCCTCATCCTCAACCCCCCCACCACTCACCCCCCCACTCTCACCCCCCCCCCCCCCACTCTCACCCACCCCCCCCCCCCCCATGAAGGAGTCTGAGAGTCTACGTCATCAACAAAGAGATTTGCGTTCGGACTGTCTGTGAACAAGACGAGATTCAGAAGGGTACTCACCACTCACTCACCAATTATTCACCAATTACTCACCACTCACTCACCAATTACTCACCCACTCACTCACCCACTCACCCACTCACCCACTCACTCACTCACCAATTACTCACCAATTACTCCCCACTCACTCACCAATTACTCACCAATTACTCACCAATTACTCACCCACTCACTCACCCACTCACCCACTCACTCACTCACCAATTACTCACCAATTACTCACCAATTACTCACCACTCACCAATTACTCACCAATTACTCACCACTCACTCACCAATTACTCACCACTCACTCACCAATTACTCACCAATAACTCACCACTCACTCACCAATTACTCACCAATAACTCACCACTCACTCACCAATTACTCACCACTCACTCACCAATTACTCACCACTCACTCACCAATTACTCACCACTCACTCACCAATTACTCGCCAATTACTCACCACTCACTCACCAATTACTCACCAATTACTCACCACTCACTCACCAATTACTCACCAATTACTCACCACTCACCAATTACTCATCAATTACTCACCAATTACTCACCAATTACTCACCAATTACTCACCCACTCACTAACCCACTCACCCACTCACTCACCAATTACTCACCAATTACTCACCACTCACCAATTACTCACCAATTACTCACCACTCACTCACCAATTACTCACCACTCACTCACCAATTACTCACCACCCACTGATCAAATACTCACCACTCACTCACCAATTGCTCACCAATAGCTCACCACTCACTCACCAATTACTCACCAATAACTCACCACTCACTCACCAATTACTCACCACTCACTCACCAATTACTCACCACTCACTCACGAATTACTCTCCACTCACTCACCAATAACTCACCACTCACTCACTACTCACTCAGGAATTACTCACCAATTACTCACCACTCACTCACCAATTACTCACCACTCACTCACCAATTACTCACCACTCACTCACCAATTACTCACCACTCACTCACCAATTACTCACAACTCACTCACTCACCAATTACTCACCAATTGCTCACCACTCACTCACCAATTACTCACCAATTACTCACCAATTACTCACCACTCACTCACCAATTACTCACCAATTACTCACCAATTACTCACCACTCACTCACCACTCACTCACTCAACAATTACTCACAAATTCACTCACCAATTATTCACCACTCACCAATTACTCACCACTCACTCACCAATTACTCACCAATTACTCACCAATTACTCACCAATCACTCTCCAATTACTCACCCACTCACCCACCCACTCACCCACTCACTCACCCGCTCACTCACCCACTCACCCACTCACTCACCCACTCACCCACTCACTCACCAATTACTCACCAATTAATCACCACTCACTCACCACTCACTCACCCACTCACTCACCCACTCACTCATTCACTGACCCGCTCACTCACCCACTCACTCACCAATTAGTCACCAATTAATCATCACTCACTCACTAATTACTCACCACTCACTCACCACTCACTCACCAATCCCTCACCAATTACTCACCACCCACTCATCAATTACTCACCCACTCACTCACCAATTACTCACCACTCACTCACCCACTAACTCACTCACCACTCACTCACCACTCACTCACCAATTACTCACCACTAACTCACTCACTCACCAATTACTCACCACTCACTCACCCACTCACCCACTCACTCACCCACTCACTCACTCACCAATTACTCACCAATTACTCACCACTCACTCACCCACTCACTCACCCACTCACCCACCCACCCACTCACCCACTCACTCAACAATTACTCACCAATTACTCACCACTCACTCACCACTCACTCACGACTCACTCACCAATTACTCACCACTCACTCACCACTCACTCACCCGCTCACTCACCCGCTCACTCACCCACTCACTTACCCACTCACTCACCAATTACTCACCAACACACTCACCCATTCACTCACGAATTACTCAGCAACTCACTCACCCACTCACTCACCAATTACTCACGAATTACTCACCGCTCACTCACCCACTCACTCACCCACTCACTCATCCACTCACTCACTCACTCACCCACTCACTCACCACTCACTCACCAATTACTCACCAATTACTCACCACTCACTCACCAATTACTCACCAATTACTCACCACTCACTCACCAATTACTCACCACTCACTCACCACTCACTCACAAATTACTCACCACTGACTCAACAATTACTCACTAATTACTCACCACTCACTAACCCACTCACTCACCACTCACTCACCACTCACTCACCAATTACTCACCAAGAACTCACCAATCACTCACCACTCACTCACGACTCACTCACCAATTACTCACCACTCACTCACCACTCACTCACCAATTACTCACCAATTACTCACCACTCACTCACCACTCACTCACCAATTACTCACCCTCTCACTCACCCACTCACTCACCAATTACTCACCAATTACTCACCCACTCACTCACCACGCAATCACTACTCACTCACCAATTACTCACCAATTACTCACCACTCACTCACCCACTCACTCACCAATTACTCACCAATTGCTCACCACTCACTCACCCACCCACTCAATCACTCACCCACTCACTCACCCACTCACTCACTCACCCACTCACTCAATCACCCACTCACTCAACCACCCACTCACTCAACCACTCACTCACTCACCCACTCACTCACTCACTCACCAATTACTCACCACTCACTCACCATTCAATCACCAATTACTCACCAATTACTCACCACTCACTCACCAATTACTCACCACTCACTCACCACTCACTCACCAATTACTCACCACTCACTCACCACTCACTCACCACTCACTCACCAATTACTCACCACTCACTCACCACTCACTCACCAATTACTCACCACTCACTCACCACTAACTCAACACTCACTCACCACTCACTCACCAATTACCACTCACTCACCACTAACTCACCACCCAGTCACCCTGTCACTCACCCACTCACCAATTACTCACCAATTACTCCCCAATTACTCACCAATTACTCACCACTCACTCACCACTTACTCACCCACTCACTCACCCTCTCACTCACTCACTCACCACCCACACACCAATTACTCGTCAATTAATCACAATTCACTCACCACTTTCTCACCACTCACCCACCAATTACTCACCAATTAATCACCACTCACCACTTGCTCACCACTCACCCACTCACTAAATACTCACTCACCCACTCACTCACCAATTACTCACCAATTGCTTATCACTCACCTACCCACTCACTCACCCTCTCACTCACCCACTCACCAATTACTCACCCACTCACTCACTCACCCACTCACTCACCAATTACTCACCAATTGCGCACCACCCACTCACCACTCACACCAATTACTCACCAATTACTCACCACTCACTCACCACTTACTCAACACTCACTCACCCACTCTCTCACCCACTCACTCACCGACTCACCAGTCACTCACCCACTCACTCACTCACACACCCACTCACTCACTCACTCACCCACTCACCAATTACTCACTCACTCACCCACTCACTCACCAATTACTCACCAATTACTCACCATTCACTCACCAATTACTCACCAATTACTCACCACTCACTCACCACTCACACACCAATTACTCACCAAATTCTCACCACTCATTCACCACTTACTCACCACTCACTCACCCACTCACTCACCCACTCACTTACCCACTCACCAATTTCTCACTCACTCACTCACCCACTCACTCACCAATTTCTCACCAATTACTCACCACTCACTCATCCACTCACTCACCAATTTCTCACCACTCACCACCCACACACCAATTACTCACCAATTTCTCACCACTCACTCACCACTTGCTCACCACTCACTCACCCACTCACCAATTACTCACTCACCCACTCACTCACCAATTCTCACCAATTACTCATCACTTACTCACCCACTCACTCACCCTCTCACTCACCCACTCACAAATTACTCACCCACTCACTCACTCACCCACTCACTCACCAATTCTCACCAATTACTCATCACTCACTCAACCACTCACTCACCCTCTCACTCACCCACTCACCAATTACTCACCCACTCACTCACTCACCTACTCACACACCAATTACTCACCAAATTCTCACTACTCACTCACCACTTACTCATCACTCACTCACCCACTCACTCACGCACTCACTCACCCTCTCACTCACCCACTCACCAATTACTCACCCACTCACTCACTCACCTACTCACTCACCAATTACTCACCAATAACGCACCACTCACTGACCACTCACACCAATTACTCACCAATTACTCACCACTCACTCACCACTTACTCACCACTCACTCACCCACTCTCTCACCCACTCACTCACCCGCTCACCAGTTACTCACCCACTCACTCACCCACTCACTCACCCACTCACCAATTACTCACCCACTCACTCACCCACTCACCAATTTCTCACTAATTATTCACCACTCACTCATCCACTCACCAATTACTCACCCGCTCACTCACTCACCAATTACTCACCACTCACTCACCACTCACTCACCACTTACTCGCTAACCACTCACTAATTCACCCACTCACTCACCAATTACTCACCACTCACTCATCACTCACTCACGAATCATTCACCAATTACTCACCACTCACTCATTACTCACTCACTCACCACGCACTCACCACCCACTCACCAATTACTCACCACTCACTCACCACTCACTCACCACTCACTCACCCAGTCGCTCACCAATTACTCAGCACTCACTCACCACTCACTCACTCACCACTCACTCACCACCCACTCACCCACTCGCTCACCACTCACTCACCAATAACTCACCACTCACTCACCACTCACCACTCACTCACTCACTCACCACTCACTCATTCACCCACTCACCCACTCACTCACTCACCACTCACTCGCTAACCACTCACTAACTCACCCACTCACTCACCAATTACTCACCACTCACTCATCACTCACTCACGAATTACTCACCACTCACTCATTATTCACTCACTCACCACTCACTCACCACCCACTCACCAATTACTCACCACTCACTCACCACTCACTCACCACTCACTTACCACTCACTTTCCCAGTCACTCACCAATTACTCACCAATTGCTCACCACTCACTCACCACTCACTCACCACTCACTCACCCACTCACCCATTCACTCACTCACCACTCACTCACCACTCATTCACTCATCACTCACTCACTCAACACTCGCTCACCACTCACTCACCACTCACTCACCCACTCACTCACCCACTCACTCACTCACCCACTCTTTCACTCACTCACCCACTCACTCACCAATTACTCACCACTCACTCATCACTCACTCACGAATTACTCACCACTCACTCATTATTCACTCACTCACCACTCACTCACCACCCACTCACCAATTACTCACCACTCACTCACCACTCACTCACCACTCACTTACCACTCACTTTCCCAGTCACTCACCAATTACTCACCAATTGCTCACCACTCACTCACCACTCACTCACTCACTCACCACTCACTCACCCACTCACCCATTCACTCACTCACCACTCACTCACCACTCATTCACTCATCACTCACTCACTCAACACTCGCTCACCACTCACTCACCACTCACTCACCCACTCACTCACCCACTCACTCACTCACCCACTCTTTCACTCACTCACCCACTCACTCACTTACTCACTCACTCACCACTCCCTCACCACTCACTCACCCACTCTCTCACTCACTCACCACTCACTCACCACTCATTCACTCATCACTCACTCACTCAACACTCGCTCACCACTCACTCACCACTCACTCACCCACTCACTCACCCACTCACTCACTCACCCACTCTTTCACTCACTCACCCACTCACTCACTTACTCACTCACTCACCACTCACTCACCACTCACTCACCCACTCACTCACTCACTCACCCACTCACTCACCACTCACTCACTCAGTCACCCACTCACTCACACACTCACTCACCCTTACACACTCAACTGATGATGCTGTTGTTGATGTTATTGATGATGTTGTTGATGTTGACGATGATGTTGTTGATGATGTGTTTGTTGTTGTTGAGCTGATCTGCCCTCTGACCATCGACTAGTCATCTGTAAGATGCGCCTGCCATTCTTCCACTCCGGTGGTGGGTGTACACCCAGGACCCCATTCCAACCTAAAGTGGCCTGGTCTCAGTTATCTGATGAAAGTTGCAAGCGAGAATTTCATCATCGCTTGCGGCTGGGATTGGCATGGTCCCCGACTCCTCCTGATGTCGAGGGTAAATGGGCGAGGTTTAGGACTTTGACTCATGCAGCTGCAATGGCTGCTTTGGGTACGCGGTCCAGACCTCCCCAGAGACCCTGGCTGACAGAGGAGGTGTTCAGGATAGTTGAGAAAAAGCGACAGGCCCACTGTCATCGGCTACAGAATCCCACGTCAGAGAATGAGGAGGCTTACCGCAGCCTTCGCTCGGAGGTTCGGAGAGCCGTGAGGTGCTGCAAGGATAGGTGGTGGTCGCGGGTTGCTGAGGAGATGGAGTCTGCCTCAGTGGCCCGTGATCACAAATCTCCATTTAACTCCATCAAAAAAGTAACCTGCAGCGCCACACCTATTACCATCATTAGGGGAGAAAACGGTGATCCAATCTCCGACCCCCAGGAACAGGTTTGCAGATTTGCTGAGCATTTCTGTGAGGTCCTGGGGGAGGGAAAATCCCTCAGCCTGGAAAACATCGTGGCACAAAGTGAGGATGACCCTGCTGAGGCTGCGGTGCCTCAAATATTGGAAGAAGTCACCCCCTGTGAGTGGCTGGCTGAGGTGCCATCCATTGAGGAAGTACTGAAGGCGATCCAGAGTCTGAGACCAGAAAAGGCACCGGGCAGAGATGATCTCCCAAGCGAAATGCTGAGGGAGGGTGGCGTTTGTGCACAGACTGCCCTATATGACATCATAACAACAGTCTGGACCACTGGACGGGTTCCGCAGGATTGAAAGGATGCCCTGGTGGTCCCCCTCTTTAAGAAGGGGGACCGCACAGACTGTAACAACTACAGGGGCATCTCACTCCTCAGTGTGCCGGGAAAGGTCCTGGCAAAGATTATTCAACATCGCCTTGCCAGGCACGCTGAGGAGAGGCTTGCGGAGCCCCAATGCGGTTTCAGGAAATGGCGGTCCTGCACAGATGCCATATTTTCTGTCCGTCTGCTACAGCAGAGGTGTAGGGAATTCCAACAAGACCTACATCTCTGCTTTATTGACCTGGTCAAGGCCTATGATATCATCAGTAGGCCTGGGCTCTGGGTTGTTCTTCGTGCTTTTGGAGTACCTGACCCTCTGCTCACGATCATTAAGGACCTTCATGATGGTGAGCGGGCCCGGGTAAAACTACGTGGCCGGGAGTCAGAGCCATTCCCTGTACACCTTGGGGTGCGACAGGGATGTCCTCTGGCTCCCACACTATTTAACATCTATTTTGACCACGTAGTTCGTGAAGCCTTCAATAGCTGTACTGGGGGAATTTCCATGTGGTACAGATATAATGGGAGGCTGATCGATGCCCGGGTGCGGTCAAGGGATGGCTCCCTATCGCTCAACCACGTTATGTATGCTGATGATTTGGTAATAGCTGCTCATTCAGAGGAGGAGTTGGAGACGCTGCTGCTGAGACTGGAGCGTGCCACTAAGAGGTGGGGCCTTACCATCAGTCCCACCAAAACTAAACACCTGCCTGGGTATTTTGTACCATCGGACACTCCTCCCCCACAACTCCCAATCGGTGATGGGGCAGTTGTGGAGAGAGTGGAGAGTTTCCCATACCTGGGCAGTGTGCTTATGACCGGCTCCATTTTAACAGCAGAGGTCTCACTCCGAATCAGTCGAGCGGCAATATCTTTTCATCATTTGCGTAACGCTGTGTGGAAGCTACCTGGTCTGTCGCTCCGCACTAAGCTTCAGGTCTTCTCAGCCACGGTCATTCCCTCCCTTCTCTACGCTTGCGAAACGTGGACCCCCCTAATGGAACATCTTCGCCGGTGATAAACATTTAGGCTGGCCTGCCTACGATCCATCGTGGGTTGAACCAGACTGGATTGTGTGAGGAGCTCACAAATCCTTGAAAGATCTGGGCAAGGTCCCATCGGTGAGCTCCTCTGGCGGGCAAGGCTGCGATGGCTGGGTCATGTAGCCCGCATGCCCAGCCACCGCATGCCGAAACAGCTTTTGTTCGGCCGGATTGAGGGGGCTAAGCGGGCGCGGCACGGGCTAGAGAAGAGATGGAGTGATGTGGTACAGGAGGACGTGGAGCTGAGTGGACTTGCCGATGACTGGTACCAGCGGTGTCAAGATCGGCCTCTGTACAGGAGGCTCGTGAAGGACGCTACTGGGCAGTTGGAGGTAGTCGCCCTCCAACAACAACGGAGGGCAGAGGAGCGACGCTCACAACAATGAGCGGTGCGCCGGGTGGCTAAAGCACAGCAGGTTGGCACAGTAGGGGGCACAGGTGGTGCATCAGCCAGTCATCTCAGTCAGTCGACCCGTGGCACCTGGGTCTGCCCCGTGACCTCCTGCCAGCGGGCGTTTGACACTTCACGTGGCCTCAGGGTGCACATAGCCTGGCACAAGCGTCGTGGTGACATCACCGCCGCTTAGTGGTGAATGGCGGTTGTTGTTGTTGATGTTGTTGTTGATGATGTTGATGTTGTTGATGTTGTTGTTGATGTTGTTGTTGATGTTGTTGATGTTGTTGTTGATGTTTTGATGTTGTTGTTGATGTTGCTGTTGATGTTGTTGATGTTGTTGTTGATGTTGTTGATGATGATGTTGTTGATGTTGTTGTTGATGTTGATGCTGTTGTTCATGTTGTTGATGTTGTTGATGTTGTTGATGTTGTTGTTGATGTTGATGTTGTTGTTGATGTTATTGATGTTGTTGATGTTGTTGATGTTGATGTTGTTGATGATGTTGTTGTTGATGTTGTTGTTGATGTTGTTGATGATGTTGTTGTTGATGTTGTTGATGTTGTTGTTGATGATGTTGTTGATGTTGTTGATGTTGTTGTTGTTGATTATGTTGATGTTGTTGATGATGTTGTTGATGTTGTTGATATTGTTGATGTTGTTGTTGTTGATGTTGTTGATGTTGTTGATGTTGTTGATGACATTGTTGTTGATGTTGTTGATGTTGTTGATGTTGTTGATGTTGTTGTTGATGTTGTTGTTGATGTTGTTGTTGATGTTGTTGTTGATGTTGTTGTTGATGTTGTTGATGTTGTTGTTGATGATGTTGTTGATGTTGTTGATGTTGTTGTTGATGTTGTTGATGTTGTTGATGTTATTTTTGATTATGTTGTTGATATTGTTGTTGATATTGTTGTTGTTGATGTTGTTGATGATGATGTTGTTGATGTTGTTGATTAAGTTGTTGTTGATGTTGTTGATGTTGTTGTTGTTGATGTTGTTGATATTGTTGTTGTTGATGTTGTTGTTGTTGATGATGTTGTTGATGTTGTTGTTGATTTTGTTGTTGATGTTGTTGTTGATGTTGTTAATGTTGTTGTTGTTGATGTTGTTGATATTGTTGTTGTTGTTGATGTTGTTGTTGTTGATGATGTTGTTGATGTTGTTGTTGATGTTGTTGATGTTGACAGCGGCACTGTGCAAGGACAAGTTCTCACGATGTGGGGCGATGGCCTCGTCAGGACTTTGTGGAGTCATGAAGAACTCCTGTGGAAGGAGCTGCGGAGACTGCTAGGACACTCACCTACCACTCACCTACCACTCACCTAACACTCACCTAACACTCACCTAACACTCACCTAACACTCATCTACTCACCTACCACTCACCTACCACTCACCTATTACTCACCTACCACTCACCTACTACTCACCTATTACTCACATACTCACCTATTACTCACCTACCACTCACCTACCACTCACCTAACACTCACCTAACACTCACCTACCACTCACCTACCACTCACCTAACACTCATCCACTCACCTAACACTCACCTACCACTCACCTAACACTCACCTAACACTCACCTAACACTCACATACTCACCTACCACTCACCTACCACTCACCTACCACTCAACTACCACTCACCTAACACTCACCTACCACTCACCTACCACTCACCTACCACTCAACTACCACTCACCTAACACTCACCTAACACTCATCTACTCACCTACCACTCACCTACCACTCACCTACCACTCACCTACCACTCACCTAACACTCACCTAACACTCACCTACCACTCACCTAACACTCACCTACCACTCACCTACCACTCACCTAACACTCACCTACCACTCACCTACTACTCACCTATTACTCACATACTCACCTATTACTCACCTACCACTCACCTACCACTCACATACCACTCACCTACCACTCACCTAACACTCATCCACTCACCTACCACTCACCTACCACTCACCTAAGACTCACCTACCACTCATCCACTCACCTACCACTCACCTAACACTCACCTACCACTCACCTAACACTCACCTAACACTCACCTAACACTCACCTAACACTCACGCACTCACCTACCACTCACCTACCACTCACCTACCACTCATCCACTCACCTACCACTCACCTACCACTCACCTACCACTCACCTAACACTCACCTACCACTCACCTAACACTCACCTAACACTCACATACTCACCTAACACTCACCTACCACTCACCTACCACTCACCTAACACTCACATACTCACCTACCACTCACCTACCACTCACCTACCACTCATCCACTCACCTACCACTCACCTACCACTCACCTAACACTCACATACTCACCTACCACTCACCTAACACTCACCTACCACTCACCTAACACTCACCTACCACTCACCTAACACTCACCTACCACTCACCTACCACTCACCTAACACTCACCTACTCACCTAACACTCACCTACCACTCACCTACCACTCACCTACCACTCATCCACTCACCTAACACTCACCTAACACTCACCTACCACTCACCTAACACTCACATACTCACCTATTACTCACCTACCACTCACCTAACACTCACCTACCACTCACCTAACACTCACCTACCACTCACCTAACACTCACATACTCACCTACCACTCACCTACCACTCACCTAACACTCACATACTCACCAATTATTCACCTACCACTCACCTACCACTCACCTAACACTCACCTACCACTCACCTACCACTCACCTACCACTCATCTACTCACCTACCACTCACCTACCACTCACCTACCACTCACGCACTCACCTACCACTCACCTACTACTCACCTAACACTCATCTACCACTCACCTACCACTCACCTACCACTTACCTAAGACTCACATACTCACCTACCACTCACCTAACACTCACATACTCACCTATTACTCACCTACCACTCACCTACCACTCACCTACCACTCACCTACCACTCACCTAACACTCACATACTCACCTACCACTCACCTACCACTCACCTACCACTCATCCACTCACCTACCACTCACCTACCACTCACCTAACACTCACATACTCACCTACCACTCACCTAACACTCACCTACCACTCACCTAACACTCACCTACCACTCACCTAACACTCACCTACCACTCACCTACCACTCACCTAACACTCACCTACTCACCTAACACTCACCTACCACTCACCTACCACTCACCTACCACTCATCCACTCACCTAACACTCACCTAACACTCACCTACCACTCACCTAACACTCACATACTCACCTATTACTCACCTACCACTCACCTAACACTCACCTACCACTCACCTAACACTCACCTACCACTCACCTAACACTCACATACTCACCTACCACTCACCTACCACTCACCTAACACTCACATACTCACCAATTATTCACCTACCACTCACCTACCACTCACCTACCACTCACCTACCACTCACCTACCACTCATCTACTCACCTACCACTCACCTACCACTCACCTACCACTCACGCACTCACCTACCACTCACCTACTACTCACCTAACACTCATCTACCACTCACCTACCACTCACCTACCACTTACCTAAGACTCACCTAACACTCACATACTCACCTATTACTCACCTACCACTCACCTACCACTCACCTACCACTCACCTACTCACCTATCACTCACCTATCACTCACTTACCACTCATCCACTCACCTACCACTCACCCACTCACCTACTCACCTACCACTCACCTACCACTCACCTACCACTCACCCACTCACCTACCACTGACCTACCACTCACCCACTCACCTACCACTCACCCACTCACATACCACTCACCCACTCACCCACTCACCTACCACTCACTTACCCACTCACCTACCACTCACCCACTCACCTACCACTCACCTACCCACTCACCTACCCACTCACCTACCACTCACCTACTCACTGTCACTCATTCACCTACTCACTGTCACTCACTCACCCACTCACTCACCTACTCACTGTCATTCACTCACCCACTCACCTACTCACCCACCTACCCACTCACCTACTCACTGTCACTCACCTACTCACTGTCACCCACTCACCTACTCACTCACCTACTCACTGTCACTCACTCACTCTCTCACCTACTCACCCACCTACTCACTCACTTACTCACTGTCACTCACTCACCTACTCACTCACCTACTCACTGTCACTCACTCACCCACTCACCTACTCACCCACCTACTCACTGTCACTCACCTACTCACTGTCACTCACCTACTCACTGTCACTCACTCACCTACTCACTCACCTACTCACTGTCACCCACTCACCTACTCAGTCACCTACTCACTGTCACTCACTCACCCACTCACCTACTCACCCACCTACTCACTCACTTACTCACTGTCACTCACTCACCTACTCACTCACCTACTCACTGTCACTCACTCACCCACTCACCTACTCACCCACCTACTCACTCACCTACTCACTGTCACTCACCTACTCACTGTCACCCACTCACCTACTCACTCACCTACTCACTGTCACTCACTCACCCACTCACCTACTCACCCATCTACTCACTCACTTACTCACTGTCACTCACTCACCTACTCACTCACCTACTCACTGTCACTCACTCACCCACTCACCTACTCACCCACCTACTCACTGTCACTCACCTACTCACTGTCACTCACCCACCTACTCACTCACCTACTCACTGTCACCCACTCACCTACTCAGTCACCTACTCACTGTCACTCACTCACCCACTCACCTACTCACCCACCTCCTCACTCACCTACTCACTGTCACTCACCTACTCACTGTCACTCACTCACCCACTCACCTACTCACCCACCTACTCACTCACCTACTCACTGTCACTCACTCACCCACTCACCTACTCACCCACCTCCTCACTCACCTACTCACTGTCACTCGCCTACTCACTGTTAATCCCTGAGTTATAACCTTGAAGTTGTTGTTGTTGTCGTTGGGGGGGTGGGGGTGGGGTGTGGGGGGAGTGTGGGGGGAGTGTGGGGGGGGGTGTGGGGGGGGAGAGTGTGGGGGGAGTGTGGGGGGAGTGTGGGGGGGTGTGGAGGGGGTGTGACTTTTATTTTGAAGTGGGGTCTCCCCCTGCCCTGATTGGTAGAGAGACCGCCCCCTCCCCTGCCAGAATAAAAGTCCCCTGTTGATGTGGGGGGTCTCCCTCTGCCCTGATTGGTAGAGAGACCGCCCCCTCCCCTGCCAGAATAAAAGTCCCCTGTTGATGTGGGCGTCTCCCCCTGCCCTGATTGGTAGAGAGACCGCCCGCCTCCCTGCCAGAATAAAAGTCCCCTGTTGATGTGGGCGTCTCCCTCTGCCCTGATTGGTAGAGAGACCGCCCGCCCCCCTGCCAGAATAAAAGTCCCCTGTTGGTGTGGAGGTCTCCCTCTGCCCTGATTGGTAGAGAGACCGCCCGCCCCCCTGCCAGAATAAAAGTCCCCTGTTGATGTGGGCGTCTCCCTCTGCCCTGATTGGTAGAGAGACCGCCCGCCTCCCTGCCAGAATTAAAGTCCCCTGTTGATGTGGGCGTCTCCCTCTGCCCTGATTGGTAGAGAGACCGCCCGCCCCCCTGCCAGAATAAAAGTCCCCTGTTGATGTGGGGGGTCTCCCTCTGCCCTGATTGGTAGAGAGACCGCCCGCCCCCCTGCCAGAATAAAAGTCCCCTGTTGATGTGGGCGTCTCCCTCTGCCCTGATTGGTAGAGAGACCGCCCGCCCCCCTGCCAGAATAAAAGTCCCCTGTTGATGTGGGCGTCTCCCTCTGCCCTGATTGGTAGAGAGACCGCCCGCCTCCCTGCCAGAATAAAAGTCCCCTGTTGATGTGGGGGTCTCCCTCTGCCCTGATTGGTAGAGAGACCGCCCGCCCCCCTGCCAGAATAAAAGTCCCCTGTTGATGTGGGGGTCTCCCCCCCCCCCCTGTCTCTTATCGTGGGGCCCCCTCCCTGCCCTGGAATGGGACCTCCCTACCAGAATAGAAGTCCCCATCGAGTGTGGGGGTGTGTGGGTGGGTCCCATCGGGTTTCCCTACGCAGAGACGGTGATGATCATGATGATGATGATTTATATTTGTTGTTAATGGTGCTTCGATTATGAGCGCGTTCATGTTGTTTTTGGGTACAATGTCATTATGGGTTTGTACTGAAGCCCTCCACCACACGACGCCAGACTCTGCACTGCCACCCATAGACTCAGCACTGCCACCCATAGACTCAGCACTGCCACCTATAGACTCAACACTGCCACCCATAGACTCAGCACTGCCACCCGTAGACTCAGCACTGCCACCCATAGACTCAACACTGCCACCCATAGACTCAACACTGCCACCCGTAGACTCAACACTGCCACCCATAGACTCAACACTGTCACCCATAGACTCAACACTGCCACCTATAGACTCAACACTGCCACCCATAGACTCAACACTGTCACCCATAGACTCAACACTGCCACCTATAGACTCAACACTGCTACCCGTAGACTCAACACTGCCACCCATAGACTCAACACTGTCACCCATAGACTCAACACTGCCACCTATAGACTCAACACTGCTACCCGTAGACTCAGCACTGCCACCCATAGACTCAGCACTGCCCATTGACTCAACACTGCTACCCATAGACTCAGCACTGCCACCCATAGACTCAGCACTGCTACCCATAGACTCAGCACTGCTACCCATAGACTCAGCACTGTCACCCATAGACTCAGCACTGTCACCCATAGACTCAACACTGCTACCCATAGACTCAACACTGCCACCCATAGACTCAACACTGCCACCCGTAGACTCAGCACTGCCACCCATAGACTCAACACTGCCACCCGTAGACTCAACACTGCCACCCATAGACTCAGCACTGCTACCCATAGACTCAACACTGCCACCCATAGACTCAGCACTGCCACCCATAGACTCAACACTGCCACCCATAGACTCAGCACTGCCACCCATAGACTCAGCACTGCTACCCATAGACTCAACACTGCCACCCATAGACTCAACACTGTCACCCATAGACTCAACACTGCCACCTATAGACTCAACACTGCTACCCGTAGACTCAGCACTGCCACCCATAGACTCAACACTGTCACCCATAGACTCAACACTGCCACCTATAGACTCAACACTGCTACCCGTAGACTCAACACTGCCACCCATAGACTCAACACTGTCACCCATAGACTCAACACTGCCACCTATAGACTCAACACTGCTACCCGTAGACTCAGCACTGCCACCCATAGACTCAGCACTGCCCATTGACTCAACACTGCTACCCATAGACTCAGCACTGCCACCCATAGACTCAGCACTGCTACCCATAGACTCAGCACTGCTACCCATAGACTCAGCACTGTCACCCATAGACTCAGCACTGTCACCCATAGACTCAACACTGCTACCCATAGACTCAACACTGCCACCCATAGACTCAACACTGCCACCCGTAGACTCAACACTGCCACCCATAGACTCAACACTGCTACCCATAGACTCAACACTGTCACCCATAGACTCAGCACTGCCACCCATAGACTCAGCACTGCCACCCATAGACTCAGCACTGCCACCCATAGACTCAACACTGCCACCCGTAGACTCAACACTGCCACCCATAGACTCAACACTGTCACCCATAGACTCAGCACTGCCACCCATAGACTCAACACTGCCACCCGTAGACTCAACACTGCCACCCATAGACTCAACACTGTCACCCATAGACTCAACACTGCCACCTATAGACTCAACACTGCTACCCGTAGACTCAACACTGCCACCCATAGACTCAACACTGTCACCCATAGACTCAACACTGCCACCTATAGACTCAACACTGCTACCCGTAGACTCAGCACTGCCACCCATAGACTCAGCACTGCCCATTGACTCAACACTGCTACCCATAGACTCAGCACTGCCACCCATAGACTCAGCACTGCTACCCATAGACTCAGCACTGCTACCCATAGACTCAGCACTGTCACCCATAGACTCAGCACTGTCATAGACTCAGCACTGCCACCCATAGACTCAGCACTGCCACCCATAGACTCAGCACTGTCACCCATAGACTCAGCACTGCCACCCATAGACTCAACACTGCCACCCGTAGACTCAACACTGCCACCCATAGACTCAACACTGCCACCCATAGACTCAACACTGTCACCCATAGACTCAGCACTGCCACCCATAGACTCAACACTGCCACCCGTAGACTCAACACTGCCACCCATAGACTCAACATTGCCACCCATAGACTCAACACTGCCACCCATAGACTCAACACTGCCACCCATAGACTCAGCACTGCCCATAAACTTTATAATAATATGGCCAGAAACTCTGAAATACAGTCCTATACAGTATACCCATCATACGCGTCTTTGTGTTGGACTGTGAGTGTGGGGAGCGGTGGTGCAGTGGTTAGCGCACTGTGTGTGTGTGGAGCGGTGGTGCAGTGGTTAGCGCACTGTGTGTGTGAGCAGTGGTGGTGCAGTGGTTAGCGCACTGTGTGTGCGGCTATGGGGAGCGGTGGTGCAGCGGTTAGCGCACTGTTTGTGTGTGAGTGGGGAGCGGTGGTGCAGTGGTTAGCGCACTGTGTGTGTGGCTATGGGGAGCGGTGGTGCAACGGTTAGCGCACTGTGTGTGTGGCTATGGGGAGCGGTGGTGCAGTGGTTAGCGCACTGTGTGTGTGAGGAGTGGTGGTGCAGTGGTTAGCGCACTGTGTGTGTGTGTGGGGAGTGGTGGTGCAGTGGTTAGCGCACTGTGTGTGTGTGTGGGGAGCGGTGGTGCAGTGGTTAGCGCGCTGTGTGTGTGTGAGTGGGGAGCGGTGGTGCAGTGGTTAGCACACTATGTGTGTGTGGGGGGAGCGGTGGTGGGCACTGCTGCTGTTGCTGCTGCTGCTCCTACTTCGCTAACGGCACTTGCCCCTGCGGTCTGTGAGAGGCTACACGGGGGATCTTTGGTGCGTGGAGGAGCCAATGACCGCTACTCGCGGTGTCAAGGTCGGCCTCTGTGGAGGTGGAGGAGGCTCGTGCCGGGCTTTTGTGCCAGGCTAGGTGCACCTTGCGGGGCGCCGCCGGGCACGTCGACAGCGCGAGGGGCGGAGGAGCCACGCTCACAACAGCGAGCGGAGCGTCGGGCGGATAAAACTACGGCGAGTTGGCACAGTAGGGGCTAGAGCTTGGTGTGGTAAGTCTACCGGTCAACCCATGGCACCTGCAGGGTCTGTCCCGTGAGCTCCTGCACCTAGCCTGGCACAACAGTACAAGCCATGGCACCTGCTGGGTCTGTCACGTGACCTCCAAGTGCACCTAGCCTGGCACAGCAGTACAACCCATGGCACTTGCGGGGTCTGTCACGTGACCTCCTACTCCTGCACCTAGCCTGGCACAGCAGTACAAGCCATGGCACCTGCTGGGTCTGTCACGTGACCTCCAAGTGCACCTAGCCTGGCACAGCAGTACAAGCCATGGCACCTGCAGGGTCTGTCACGTGACCTCCTCCTGCACCTAGCCTGGCACGGCAATACAACCCATGGCACCTGCAGGGGCTGGCACGTGACCTCCTCCTCCTCCTGCACCTAGCCTGGCACAGCAGTACAAGCCATGGCACCTGCAGGGTCTGTCACGTGACCTCCAAGTGCACCTAGCCTGGCACAGCAGTACAAGCCATGGCACCTGCAGGGTCTGTCACGTGACCTCCAAGTGCACCTAGCCTGGCACAGCAGTACAAGCCATGGCACCTGCAGGGTCTGTCACGTGACCTCCAAGTGCACCTAGCCTGGCACAGCAGTACAAGCCATGGCACCTGCAGGGTCTGTCACGTGACCTCCAAGTGCACCTAGCCTGGCACAGCAGTACAAGCCATGGCACCTGCAGGGTCTGTCACGTGACCTCCAAGTGCACCTAGCCTGGCACAGCAGTACAACCCATGGCACCTGCAGGGTCTGTCACGTGACCTTCAAGTGCACCTAGCCTGGCACAGCAGTACAAGCCATGGCACCTGCAGGGTCTGTCACGTGACCTCCAAGTGCACCTAGCCTGGCACAGCAGTACAAGCCATGGCACCTGCAGGGTCTGTCACGTGACCTTCAAGTGCACCTAGCCTGGCACAGCAGTCAACCCATGGCACCTGCAGGGTCTGTCACGTGACCTCCAAGTGCACCTAGCCTGGAACAGCAGTACAAGCCATGGCACCTGCAGGGTCTGTCACGTGACCTCCAAGTGCACCTAGCCTGGCACAGCAGTACAAGCCATGGCACCTGCAGGGTCTGTCACGTGACCTTCAAGTGCACCTAGCCTGGCACAGCAGTACAAGCCATGGCACCTGCAGGGTCTGTCACGTGACCTTCAAGTGCACCTAGCCTGGCACAGCAGTACAACCCGTGGCACATGCAGGGTCCGTCACGTGACCTCCAAGTGCACCTAGCCTGGCACAGGCGCCGTGGTGCCAGTGACACCGGTGACAGCGGCCTCGCCCACCCCTAGGTCGACTCGGCCTTAAATCGCACGCGCGCTGACGTCATCACGCGCATGACGTAATCACGTCGGTCGCTGACTCCCAACGTAACACGAGGGAGGACTTTCTCTGTACGCGCTGACGTCATCACGCGCATGACGTAATCACGTCGGTCGCTGCCTCCCAACGTAACACGAGGGAGGACTTTCCCTGTACGCGCTGACGTCATCACGCGCATGACGTAATCACGTCGACCGCTGCCTCCCAACGTACCACCAGGAGGGAGGACTCTCTCCGTGCGCGCCGACGTCATCACGCGCATCACGTAACCACGTCGACCACTCCTCCCAACGTAACTCAATGGAGGGGTGAGTGAGAGGTCAACCTTACGCCCTTACGTCATCACGCACGTGACGTCACTACGCCGACCACGCCTCCCTACCCTATGGAGGAGGGGGGTGTGTCAGTCCTACGCGATGACGCCACCACGTCGACCACTCCTCCCAACCCAATGGCGCGGGGTGGGGGGTCACCCGTACGCGCTGACGTCGGCACTTCGACCACTCCTCCCAACGTAACCCAATGGAGGAGGGTGGGCGTGGTCAACGGTACG